GGAGTTTTTTGAGGACGCTCCCAGCCTGGGGGAAAAAAATTGGGAATTTTTTGGGAATTTTGGGAATTTTTTAGGGATTTTGGGAATTTTTTTTGGATTTTGGGAATTTTTGGGGGGATTTTGGGAATTTTTTTGGGGATTTTGGGAATTTTTTTGGAATTTTGGGAATTTTGGGAGGATTTTGGGAATTTTTTGGGGGATTTTGGGAATTTTTTTGGGGATTTTGGGAATTTTTTGGGAATTTTGGGAATTTTTGGGGGGATTTTGGGAATTTTTTGGGGGATTTTGGGAATTTTTTTTGGGATTTTGGGAATTTTTTGGGGGATTTTGGGAATTTTTTTTGAATTTTGGGAATTTTTGGGGGGATTTTGGGAATTTTTGGGGGGATTTTGGGAATTTTTTGGGGGATTTGGGAATTTTTTTGGAATTTTGGGAATTTTTGGAGGATTTTGGGAATTTTTTGGGGATTTTGGGAATTTTTTGGGGATTTTGGGAATTTTTTTGGGGGAATTTTGGGAATTTTGGGGGGGATTTTGGGAATTTTTTTTGGATTTTGGGAATTTTTTGGGGATTTTGGGAATTTTTTGGGGGATTTTGGGAATTTTTTGGGAATTTTGGGAATTTTTGGGGGGATTTTGGGAATTTTTTGGGGATTTTGGGAATTTTTAGGGGATTTTGGGAATTTTTTTTGGGATTTTGGGGTTTTTTTTTTAATTTTAGGGAAAATCCAAGGAATTTTAAAGGAATTTGTGGAATTTTGTGGGAATTGTTGGGAATTTCAAGGGAAAACCAGGGAATTTTAATGGAATTTGTGGGATTTTTTAGGGAAAACCAAGGAATTTTCGAGGATTTTATGGAATTCTGTGGGATTTTTGTGGGAATTCCTGGGAATTTTTGAGAATTTTTGGGAATTTGAAGGGAATTCTTGGGATTTTGAGGGGAATTTGAGGGATTTTTTAGGGAAAACCAAGGAATTCTTGAGGATTTGATGGAATTTTGTGGGATTTTTGTGGGATTTTGTGGAATTTTTTGGGATTTGAGGGAATTTTGAGGGAATTTTAGGGGAAAACCAAGGAATTCTTGAGGATTTTATGGAATTCTGTGGGATTTTTGTGGGATTTTGAGGGATTTTTTTTTGGAAAACCAAGGAATTTCAGTGGAATTTTTGGGATTTTGAGGGGAATTTGTGGGAATTTGAGGGATTTTTTGGGGAAAACCAAGGAATTTTCAAGGATTTTGGGGAATTTTGTGGGAATTTTAAGGGATTTTTTAGGGAAAACCCAGGAATTCTCAAAGATTTTGTGGGAATTTGAGGGATTTTTTAGGGAAAACCAAGGAATTTTCAAGGATTTTGGGGAATTTTGTGGAATTTTATGGGATTTTTTAGGGAAAACCGAGGAATTTTCCAGGATTTTGTGGAATTCTGTGGGATTTTGTGGGAATTCTTGGGATTTTGAGGGGAATTTGTGGGATTTTTTAGGGAAAACCCAGGAATTCTTGAGGATTTGATGGAATTCTGTGGGATTTTTGTGGGATTTTGAGGGATTTTTTTTGGAAAACCAAGGAATTTCAGTGGAATTTTTGGGATTTTGAGGGGATTTTGTGGGAATTTGAGGGATTTTTTAGGGAAAACCGAGGAATTCTTGAGGATTTTGTGGAATTTTAAGGGAGTTTTTAGGGAAAACCAAGGAATTCTTGAGGATTTTATGGAATTCTGTGGGATTTTTGTGGGAATTCCTGGGAATTTTGGGGAATTTTTGGGAATTTGAAGGGAATTCTTGGGATTTTGAGGGGAATTTGAGGGATTTTTTAGGGAAAACCGAGGAATTTTCAAGGATTTTGGGGAATTTTGTGGGAATTTGAGGGATTTTTTAGGGAAAACCGAGGAATTTTTGAGGATTTTGTGGAATTTTGGGGAATTTTTGTGGGAATTTGAGGGATTTTTTAGGGAAAACCCAGGAATTTTCCAGGATTTGATGGAATTCTGTGGGATTTTTTTGGGAATTCCTGGGAATTTTGGGAATTTCACCTCCTGGATGTGCCGCACTTCGCTCTTGAGCTGCGTCACCGGCTCCTCGTGGTCGGAGCGAGCCTTGAGATAAACCTGGAATGGGAAAAAAATCGGGATTGGGAATAAACCGGGATTGGGAATGTTCCAAATCCATCCCGGAATTCCCACGGAATCGGGGGAAAATTCCCAAAAATTCCCGGGGTTTTTTTTTGACCTTGAGTTTTCCTGTTAAATCTGAATTTTCGGGGGTTTTTGGGGGGATTTTGGGGAATTTTGGGGAATTTTTTGGGAATTTTATGTGGAAATTTTGTGGGAATTTTGGGAGAATTTTGGGGAATTTTGGGGGAATTTCTTTGGGAATCTCTTTGGGAAGTTTGTGGGATTTTGGGGGAATTTCGGGGATTTTTTTTGGAATTTCTTGGGACTTTTTTTGGAATTTCATGGGAATTTTGTGGGAATTTCTCAGGAATTTTGTGGGAATTATTGGGGAATTTTCAGGGGAATTTTGTGGGAATTTTTTGGGAATTTTGTGGGAATTTCTCCATGGGAATTTGGGGAATTTTGTGGGAATTTTGTGAATTTTGTGGGAATTTCTCCGTGGGAATCTGGGGAATTTCAGGAGAATTTATTGGGAATTTTTTTGGAATTTTGTGGGAATTTCTCCGTGGGAATTTGGGGAATTTCAGGGGAATTTCTTGGGAATTTTTTGGGAATTTCAGGGGAATTTTGTGGGAATTTTTTTGGATTTTTTTTGGAATTTTTGTGGGAATTTCTCCCTGGGAACTTTGGGAATTTCAGGATAACTTTTCGGGAATGACCTTGATGATCTCCTCGTCTCCATCCTTGGATTTGACGCATTCCGAGGCCAAGGAATTCCCGTCGGATCTTTTGGCCACCATGGCAAAGGCTCTTCCCACCGGCTTGGGAATCAAAAACCGCAATTCCAGGAAAAAAATTCCCAAAAAAACCCCAAAATCCCAATTTTCCACCTTAAACCCCATGGCTGGGCGGGAATTATCCCAAAATTCCCGGATTTTCCCGGGAAAATCCCCAGTTGATCCCATTCCCTGTCCCGGAATTCCCAAATTTCCTCCCCAAATTCCCAATTTAGCCCCAAAATTCCCATTTTTCCCCTCTAAATTCCCATTTTTCCCCCAAAAATCTCCCAAATTTCCCCCCCAAATTCCCAGATTTCCCACCAGAATTCCCAGATTTCCCCCAGAATTCCCAGATTTTCCCCCCAAAACTCCTGAATTTCACCCCCAAATTCCCAATTTTCCCCAGAATTCCCAATTTCCCCCAAAATTCCCCCTAAACTCCCAAATTTCGCCCCAAAATTCCCAATTTCTCCCCAGAATTCCCGGATTTTCACCCCGAAACTCCCAAATTTCCATCCCAAATTCCCAATTTCCCCCAAAATTCCCAGAATTTCCCCCAAAATTCCCAGAATTTCCCCCCAAAATTCC